CAATGAGCAACTTTTGTTTCAAATGAAAAAGTCACGGATATCGCCTCCGCTCATCTAAAATACATTTAACAGGGCAACGTCTGTCACTGTAGGAAAATGATTCAGGTAATGTTGCAGAAAGATGACTCCAGGAAAAAGTTACTACTACAGCAAGGTCGGAGGATGAGCCCCACGGTACGTTTTCATGTTTCTTACATAATCAGGGTCATTCCTGCGCCGACTCACCGTCCTCGTCTCTTACCCCTCCTCCCTCACTTCTCCCATTTGTCATCTGGGCCATTAACCGAAAAGGCCATTTCTTGAAATCTCGTCTGAGCGATGAGGCTCGACTTTCAACTGGTGCTGTCATGTTGGTGACACCAAAGACAGACAAATTATTACGTTATGCTAAAATTATAATAACGGCACAAACGTTCCTTGAAGAAATGCATTTCGCCCTCCGGCATGCAAGCCAAAGTTTTACAAATGTTGCATGTTTGTTAGACACTGGAGTTGTGAATGACTCAACTACTACCCCAACAAATTTTACCTAAATATCCGTTAAGCTGAGTTTAAGACATTTTCGTGTTTGCTTTGGTGGCAATCTTAAATTGATTTGATTCAAAGAATTACAGTATTTTCCAGACTATAAGAAGTATTAAGTGAAACTAAACAGTTACGTCCAACTTCATTTAACTCGTTCACAATAACTCAACATTGTTCAGTTGTACCACATACAAATCGGTTCAAGGTCAGTAAGCACAACCAGAATTAATACGTAATGCGCACTAGATTAGAAGGCTCACTGTCGGTTTTTGAGAAAATTAAAGGATTATGGTGCGCCTTATGGTCCAAAAAAATATGGTAACCGGTTATAAACATGGATCCATTAATTATTCTGCCCACTGGTTCTCAAGATATGTCACTAACAGAGACTCCAACAGTGAATGCTAAAGTTTTAAAGATTTCATGCAGTCCATTTGCGCTGAGTGTATGTGTTGGGGATGATGCTCAGCTACTACCACTCTGTAGAGCTGGTTAAGTTATAGCGTTAGAAATGGAGTTGATCAGGTTGATCAGCTGCAGCCATCTTGAATCAGGTTCACTCTAAATGTTCATCAGTTGTGCGTGCATGTACAATCCACTGAAAGTCAGGTCCTCTGGACAGTGTCTTTGGATTGAAACGTTTCGTCTTTCATCCGAAGGACTTCATCAGTACAAGGAGCCACATGAAACCGAGTTCCGTAAGTGGCATACTCACATAGTGGACCAACCAGTTTGATGGTGATAAGATGGTTTCTGGTGTCCGCCCTCTCCCTCGTCGACTCGCCTGAGGCAGTCGTGGCCAAAGTGGTTCGAGTGCTTTGATGTTTTGAACCATTTTGGACATGGCTGCCTTAGACGAGTCGACGATGGACAGGGCGGACTCCAGAAACCATCTTATCACCATCAAACTGGTTGGTCCACTATGTGATGGGGTTGAACGACTACATATTTTTTCAAAGTCGACTTCAACATGATAAAAGTCGACGTTGACTAGTCGATGTGACGTCATAGGAACTCAAGGCGCTATTCACAATTAATTTATTATTTACAAAAAAATAAATAAAAATAACATTGGGAGCGTATATTTATGCTCCTACCATTTATCATACTGCAAATAGGCTGAGTCACAGGGAAACCAAAACTATTAGTATGCTGCAAAAGTTAGTTTTATTTAATCCACTAAATAAAACAAACCACTGAGGAGATGGTGGCGGTGGTGGGATCCACCATGGGTAGTTGAACCAGAAGAGTCATCTTTAGAGAAATACTTCCACACCGTTGATGAATTTCTACCTTTTTGGAAAGACTTGGCCTGCTCCTCGCCTCCCATCTGCTTGGAAGAATCCTTTTTGAAGCAAACCACCAGCGCTGAACACGTGACCCCAATCACTGACTGCGACTAGTCGACATGACATTTAAAAACTCGCAAGATGTCCTGGAATTTACTAGTCGACTAGTCTAGTCAACCCCTACATACGAATATGCTACTTATAGGGCAATTACTGGACTGATGAAGTCCTTTGGATGAAAGACGAAACTTTTAAACACAAACTGTCCAGAGGATTTGGCTCAACTTTGTTGGATTTATTATCTGGATCATTGAGCATCAACTTTGAAATCCACTGACTTTATTAAAATGTGTCCAGTGGTTTGAGAGATTTTGTGAACACCAGTACTAACACGCATTAAAAGCCTTTGTTGGAGGACAATCATACAAATCTCATTTCCAAATGCCTTTACCATCTGAACCATCAACACCCATCACCACTTCCAGAATGTAATTTCGTGTTTGCAGTTTGCCAGAACAAAAACGTTTCCCCTTCATTTGAATCGCAGGTAAATGGCGTTAAATTCTTGGGGAGAGTCCAGTTGTGTTGCAGGTCAATTATAAACGAGGAGCTGGAGCGAACGGGACAGAATTTTCTCAGACTTCGTAAATGCACTCCGGTGCTTCAGTCTTTCCCAGGAGCACCTTTTCAGTTTCCAGAGAGCCGTTTTTCCTCCAATCTGCCAGCTCGTCTTAACAAGTGGTCAAAACTGTGACTGCACATTCAACATGCTGACACCTGCCTTAGCACGAAAAATACCACAGCCCCGTGAAAAAGCTGCCTCATCGGGCTGCTGCCACACGGATACTTTACTTGGTGATGTGTATCCATCTTACGCATCCGGCGATTAAAAAACGTCAGTGTATCCAGACAAACGACACCGTTTAGCTACGTCTTCGGGGGTGAAAACCTGACGGATTAAAACCCCTTCAGACACATTTTCCATTAGTCCGACTCAACGTGTCTGCACCGTGTCTGCCTCAGCAGCCTGCTGCTTTTCTGTAAATGATGGAGAAGCTGAAGGAGACAGAAGAGTGTAACGATGTCCGGTACACAGACCGAGTAAGAAGTGGTCACTCTTCAGAGGCAGTTGTTGCCACCTTCCATTGAAAGTTATTGTCTGGTATGAAACTCATATGCACAAGATTTGCTGTGGTAAATGTTTTTAGAAATACATTAAAAATTAAAAAGATATTCATGCCAAGTTATTTCCTGATCTTTGATTTGCCTGGACATTGTATAATTAAAGGTTTTGGTGCAAACCAGTGCAGATAAATGTGTATGGACCCTTGCATCTCATTGAAACAAGGCTTCTTTTCTCATGAAAAGTGATTCAGTTAAAATAAATTGTCTAATGTAAATTTACATGCCCTTAGCATGCGATTAAGTAAATAAAACATGTGAAAAGAATCAATTTTCTGTTTAACAAAAATATGCTAAAATAGTGCAAATGGACTTGTTGGTGCCCTTAAAGAGACTTTTTAATCCTTGCATTATAGTCATGTTTCAAACTAAGTGTTTGACCTTAATTAGCATCACAGATGCCTTCAAGCTTTCCATCAGCCATTCAATTTATTTAAAGGGAACAAACAGCCACTGGGTGGTTTTGTAGGGTTGCGTGTACAGCACTGAGCATCGAGCAGGGGAAACAAAGGCCAGAGGTGTCTGAGGGGCTCAAAGAAGATTACAGATCTCCATGTTAAAGGTAAAAGCTACCAGACCGTCTCCACACAGATTCATGTTCCTCTAAACACAATTGCCAATATGGCTAAAAAGTATAAGGTCCATGAGACTGTTGCCAACATCCCAGGACGTGGACGCAAGAGAAAATGCATTACCAGTTTGATCAGATGGCTCATACAAAAAAAGAGTCAAAGAAACCAAAACCATTAAAGCTGAACTCCAGGGTCCAGGTACGTCACTTTCTGATCGCATCATCCACCACATTTGGAATCGTGTTGAACTCCACGACCAGGATGACTCCACTACTGCCAGAAAAACACAGACTGGATGTAATTCACCAGAATCCGTGTCGACAAGCATCAACATTTCTGGGAAAAGTTTCAGGAACCGATGACACAAAGCTGGAGCTTGGAGGTTTCAGTCACCAGTTCTGTTTTTGTGAAAGTTACCAGCAAACCTATCAAAGCACCTTTAATATCGCCCACTATCAATGGCAACAGAATGTTTTGATGGTTTATTATAACGTTTTTGCCTCTGTTCAATGGATTGTAATGAAACTTAAAGTTGCCATCAGACATAACTTACAAAAGAGTAATTTTTGGAGTCAGCCCAATGTACGAACCAAGTGACATTTGGAAACAAAAATGTCTACAACTCCGCTAGTTTTATAGATTTAACATTCGACATGGTAGTACTAGAGTGTCACAACACCTACTCCAAGCACCACACATTGCACAACGTTGGTGATATTCAAACAGTCCAAACTCTGAGGCAGCGGTCCATTTGTAACTCCACTGAGCATTTGTGGAAGGTAACCGGACGATTTCCAACTGCATGACCTCTACCAAATGTCTAAAATCTGTTGGAATCAGTCTCCCCACCATCACAGACATTTACACCTCCAGATGCAGGAAGAGGGCCACCTGCATCATGAAGGACTCCACCCACCCAGCACACACACTTTTTGCCCCACTCCCCTCAGGAAGGAGGTTAAGGAGCATTAAGTGTAGAACCACTAGACTGAGGAACAGCTTCTACCCTGAGGCTGTTAGACTCATGAATCTCTAACTAGAATAATCACTGTGAAAAACAATATCATGTTGCTGCTGATCTGTTTCATGTTGCTGCTGATCTGTTTCAATGTTGATGTGTTCATGCGTGCACATCCGCTCACACAGACTCATGTTCATGTTTGTGCTGATGTTCAATGTTTTATGAGTGCTTAGTGTATATTTAGTTGATGTTTTTCTTAGTTCATATCTTAGATGTTATTACTGTTTTTCTTATACATTTTATTGTCGGATGTAACTGGGACCCTGTGTACATAATTTCGCTCCACCACATGTACCACATGAGGTGCGAATGACAATAAAGAAACTCTGACTGACTGACTCTGAAAAATGGTTTTGAATTAAGACGGAGAATAACCTGGTGCTTCGTGGGCAACCATTAAAGAAACCATACCTGCTTGGCGAGGTTAACGGCATCAGAGTGAAGTCTGTCTCTCAGGTGAGGGTCCAACTGGAAGGCAGGTGCAATCTCCACAACCTGAAAAACAAACAGGATCTTGTGTTAGCACATTACTACCGTAATTTCTGGACTATAAGCCGCTACTCTTTTTGCACGTTTCCAACACTGTGGTGTTTATACCGTATTTTCTGACGTATAAGCTGCAGTTTTTGGCATAGATTTGTCAGTCCTGCGACTTGTACGCTGAAGTGACATATACGGGGGTTTTTTTCCCCATACTCATAACGCAATGTTTGACTGACGCTTTAAATTTCGAAGAACTGCAACAGCGAGTCCTCCCATGCATGCTCGCTTCGCTCAGCTGGAGCAGGCGGAGGAACGCTGGAGAGCTAGCAGCTCCGGCCGCGGTACATGGATGGATGCCGCCCAGGCAAAATTAAGCCATTTTAACCATTAAATAAAAGCATAATGAACGTGATGAGTCATTTATGACTCATAATAAATGCAACTTATATACCAAAGCGATTTACATGTTTTTTTCCTCTTCATTATGCTTTTTTTTGACTGATGCAACTTATACTCCAGAAAATACGATAGTACTGTGGATAATTTATGGATTTCCTTTCTTTGACGGGCTTCATGCCGTCAAAACATTGAGCCTCGTCACACCCGGGTAGTCACATAGCTGACCAGTACAGGTCTCGCTTGGGGGGTGGGTCCTCGTGACTCAACGAGACTACCTGTATAAATAAAGGTTAAAATAAATAAATAAATCAGACCAATGAAATTACCGAACAGGTCACAGTGGACCAATGACACTTGGTTTCATTGGTCCACTGGGGAGGCAGGCAAACCTTTGCTCCCCCCCTCCCTTTTGTGTCCCCAGGGACGGGGCACAACGAAGTATTTGAAGCCACTCAAAATGTGTGAATCGTGCATTTAAAAATGGCACTCCGAGCTTGGTGGGAGGCATGGACGATCAGCGGCAAGAAATCGTTTACTAAAACTGTCCGCATGCGATGAGCAACTTTTGCCCAAGTCTGGCAGTGGGTCCCGACAGTGGAGCGGTTGAGTGAACCATTTGGTGGTGAGAGCAGCGGCACGTCAAACTACTTTGGCCAATACAAATCACAACGAGGATAAAGATGCAAAAATGATGTGTGGATATGCAGAGAAGCTCACAGTTGGAAAATAAATTGTTTTATTACCAGAGTGGCTTTTCCCAACAAAGCTGCCATTTGAGCCCTTGTTTAAGCTAAGTGGCCAGCATTGCTACAGTGTTGGTTACAATCCATCCAAATCACTCCCAGTTTGCAATTATAAGTCAGTAAAAGAACCATTTTACCAACCATCATTTAGTAAATCAATTTGTCGCCATTTCTCTTTATTACGCCCACAGCAACAAACTATTTAATCCATTTGAGGGTTTATTTTTTTAATTTTTGGAACACCCAGATTCATATTTGATCAGGCAGGTGGGTGGACATCGTTTACTACTGCGGTGTAAAAACAAGTCAACCGTTTCTCGGATTATAACAATTCACAGCACAAGAAATTACTGATTTTTTAAAAATCAAAACTGCGTGTCGGAAACTAAATACCATATTTTTTGCTGTATAAGTCACACCTGTTTGCATAAATTAGCATGTCTGCAACTTGTACACCAAAATGACTAATATACATTTTTCCCCATATTTATAACCCGAGATCTGACGATTTCATTTGTTCTGACGTGGAAAATATTGAACACTATATTTTCAGCCACTAGAGGGCCCTCGACTAAAATGGCAAGCCAAGTATCTCATTAATAGGTTAAAGTGGCTATTAATGAGACGCTTGGCTTGCCATACCAAGCCACCTTCGTCTCGCTCTGGAACTCCAGGAGCAAATGTCAAATCAGCTTCATCTGCACCGTCCAGGTGAAATGCAGCTGATTTGACCATTAAAGTGCATTTATCAAGTAAAAGTTCAACCGAGACACACCTTTACTATAAAGTTGAGCAAACAAATTGTTTGTAGGTGGTTATCTTGATAAATTTTGTAGAAATGGACAGCGAGTCCTCCCTTTGCGCGCTCCCACATCAAAGTGCATTTATTAAGGAAAAGTCAGACTGAGCGCACCTTTACTATAATGTCAAGCAAACAATTAATTGTTTTTAAGTGTTAATCTTGTTAAATTATTGTTAAATTCCTCCCGTGCACGCTCCCGCGGCCACCATTTGGCAGACAATTGATTTTTGGCACAACAACGTCACACATTTCTGAGTGGTCAGCGGTGACGCGTAATAGATGCGATTTATACGATGAAGAGACATTTATGTTTTTTCCACTTTAGACATTTTTAGACTGATGCGACGTGTACGGCGGCAAGTACGGTAATCCTAAAATAAGATCCGACAGAGCCTGAATAGCACTTCGAGACCTCTCTGCACCACCGAACCCAAATCCATTTCAAACGGTTATTGTTGCAACAACAAAAAAAAAAAAAACAAGACGTCGGATCAGAAGAGGCAGATTAACAGAATCAAAAACCAGCAGCTCTGGCATAAACAGAACTAAAATAATCATCGTTCATAATCTGATTAAAGTGGGAGGATGAAAATGCACGACTAAAACTGCTTTGAGGTGACAGCGTTTCATAAATAATCAACGGTGAAAGCTTCGTTATTACAACTACAGAATCATTGTATCGTCTCTTTAGTCTGGTATTAAGCCATTTGTTATTCTGACAATTAGGCGTTGAATTAATGTTACGGTGCAAACGATCTTTTACTCATATTGGCTGTCTGACGAAAGGTAATCCAACCACCTACAACAAAAATAAACTTTAATTCAAGTTGAAGATGGGTTCAGTTTAGATGCAGATATCTTTTTACACTCGTGTCACCGTTTGCAGCGGCTAAGTGTTACTGGAATATGATCTGCTCGCCCCCCTGCTGCCGACAGCCGAGACACTCCAGAGCTTTTAGCTCGTGTTGATAATCACTTTGCGTTACTTACATGGGCCGTTTGCCTGAATTTAAAAGGCGCACACAGCAGAGGCTGCAGGAATGTTTCCTGCTTGTGGTTTTTGCTTCATTACTCGACAACAAGCGGTGAATCGGCATTCAGCCATCGCTCCCCCATGGCTAGCCCTTTTGCTGCTTTTAGCTCCCATTTCACTACTTTAGCTTTCAGCTAACGTTCAGCTGCGTATGGCTTCAAGTTGGTGATCAGGCTACGTTGTCGGTAAAATGCTGTCTGCAGTTCAAACTTCACCTTCTGGTGTCGTCTCTGAATGGAGCAGTCCCTCTCGTACAGATGGATGACGTTCCCGTATTTATCACCTGAGCAAAGACACAAGGTTAAAAACAGCGTTTGTGGTTTCATTAAAGCAACGGTTCAGGTCGTTTGACGTGGAGTCCTGTTGAGAACCTATGATTGATAATATCATACCCAATTTAATTTGAACACAAAATGAAAAAAAATTAAGGATTAATTGGAAGAGTAGTGTTTAAACTGTTCAGCGTCTGGCCATAAAGTGTTCAGGCAGAGAGGCTCAAGCTCCTTTCAAGTTCAAGTGGACAAATCTTTCTAATAAATGCCAAATTGAACAAGACTACAACAAATTGTTGCAATAATTAAACCGGTTTTAATAAATATCGACTGATGTTTGTATTTTTCCATCACATTTAAAGTAATAATATGCATTAGCATCGTTTATAAAACCAATTTAACATCTGATGATCTGAGGAGGTGGTGCAGTTGGTAGAGCTGCAGCCTCTCAGCAAGAAGGTCGCCAGTCCAAATCCTGGCTGGGGGACCACTCTGGGTCGAGTTAGAGAGGGAGGGAGGGAAGGAGGGAAGGAAGGAAGGAAGGAAGGAAGGGAAGAAGGGAGGGATGAAAGAAAGGAAAGAAGGAGGGAGGGAGGGAAGAAAGGAGGGAGGTAAGGAAGGAAGGAAGGAAGGAAGGAAGGAAGGAAGGAAGGAAGGAAGGAAGGAAAGGAGGGAGGGAGGGAGGGAAGGATGAAAGAAAGGTAGGAAGGAGAAAAGGAAGGAGGGAGAGAAGGAAAGAAGGAGGGAGGGAAGGAGGGAGGGAAGGAGGTATGGATGATCTGCGGACCCCACTTGGTGTTTTATGACCCACAGTGGGGTGCCGACCACACTTCACAGAATCACTGAATTAGTCACATGACCAACAGGATGATCAATACACAAACTGACCTGAAGAGAAAAACAATAAATCACTCACTGTTCGTTTCTAAACATTAAAGCCATGAAATAAATGTTGCCCGTCACCAAGAAGCCCTGAACCAAACAGAAGCAGTAAATTCTGACTGCTGCTTGTAAACAAAGACTCAGCACGACAAGAAAAATAAACGCACATGCAGTGGTGTCGGTCACTTTACGCTCAAAGTGCAGACAAGTTCCAGTAAAAGCTGGTGTTGAGTTTCAGCTCCGAGTGCGTTCAGGGTTTCGTTCAAAGGAAATTATGCTCCGATGGACAAAATTAATTTTCACTGGGTTTTTTTCCCCACAAGAACTTTGCCACAAAGTTTGAGGTTCATTTAGTTTTTTTTTTTTTTTTTAGTTTTTTTTTTTTATAAATCTCAAATGAATTTTCTTTAACCACTCTTCCATTCAAGGTTGCAGTGGAGCTGGTAACCATCTCCAGTGGTTATCAGAGAGGCTGGGAGCACCTGGACTGGTCGTAAGTCCATCGCAAAGACTATCCATTCGTGCTCTCATCCATAGTAACGAGTTAGTTTCCAGTGAATCCGACGTCCATTTTTCTGGGTCTGTGGGAGGAAACTGGAGGACCAGCATGCATGGTGAGAATATGAAAACTCCACATCATAAGCTCCCCAGCTGGGAGACTAACCTACGACCTTAGTGTTGCAAAAACTAACCCATTTACAGAAATGGTTAAAGGTTCAAATGAAAACTCACCAAGGATCTGAACTTCAATGTGTCTTGGCTTTTCGATGAACTTCTCTACAAACAGGGCTCCGTTCCCAAAAGCCGTCAGGGCCTCGGAGTACGCCCGCTGGTAGTTCTCCTCGAGTTCCTAACAAACACACAAGAACAAATCTGTATAGGCATTCATGAAGAGAACCAATTACAGTAGTTCCTCAATACTTCGCAGTTCGACTTTTGCGGACTCAGATCTTTCATGGGTTTTCAACGCAAGATTGTACAACACACGATTGGCTGATTGACGGAAGGCGACCAACCAGAGCATTTGAGGGGCGGACTGGTCATCAGGAACACGGGGACATTTCCCGGTGGCCTGGCCCGCTCTGTAACTGCCGAAGCAGACTAATAATCAAGCGCAACCCGAACCGAGCCATTAGTCCCCTTCAGCAATCACTGAGCGGGCCAGGTCACCGAGAAATGTCCCGGTGCTCCTGATGGCCAGTCCGCCCCCGGGATTGGCTCAGTAACCATAGCATCAGTCTATCTGCTCTTTTAGAGCATGTAGAGAGTTTAGAACATTGAGAACATTGCAAGAGTGTGAAAAGGGTTTTCAAAGCCTTAACATGTATAAATACTAAAGTATAACTTCCCTACTTCGCAGATTTTTATTTATCGCGGGGCTGTCTCAAACGCAACCCCTGCAATAAGTGAGGGACTACTGTATTGTACTTATTTTTCCTCTTCCTCCAGTATTCTCATGGTCCACATTTTTTTGGATGCACGTTTACCGGCCCCCAGGGAGCTGAATCCTACACATCGTCTGTGGTAGATCACTGCCCAACATGTTGAAGGTCATGGCTCAGTCTGTTTGTCAGCATGAGACATGCAGCCAGACCATCTAGTCTCTTCCTGTAGGGGAGCAGTGTGGCTGGGGGTGGAGGGACTGAGAAACACCATGCTCCCTTCCCGAACTTTGGGAGATCAAACTCCGGTTCATCCTCAGATGTCGTCTCGTAGCCTTGAGAAAAAGATGCTGCTGGAGGTGAAACTATCAGGTTTCTACGGCAACAGTACACGTCAGCGTCTATCGTGTTTCTCCCAGTTTGTTTCACAGGAACCAGCGCAAAGATGGCATTAAAAGGAGGCCTCGGATTTCACAGATTTACCAGAAATTTAAACTGCACATTTACTTTAAATGTCAGCGCTTGTTCTACATCTGATCGAATTAAATAAAGGCCACTTATGAGTAGACGACATTTAGCAGCAATAACAATTCACTCTAAAGCTTTGAGTCTCATAAACAGTGACATTTTACTCAAATTATACATGCAGGACTCATAATTATCACCATAAATCTGGTTATCTGACAACACCATCCTCTAATCAGTGGAGAAAATTTGACTGGAGAATGCGTCTGCACGTTTCTTCTAAACATTTGAGCCGGTGAACAATGTATCAGGTGCAGATGGTTAAAAAATTAAAGACATTTAGTCATAAGTTTAAAAAAAGAACAGTGAATGTTATCAAGTATTTCAACTATTCAGAGATATTTTACAATTCCACACTAATAAATGAAAAAAAAACTTATCTGTGAAGGGACAAAAAAGTACAACGATTTAATTAAATTAGACAAATTGTAAAATAAAAATAAAAAATCTATTGTAAATGAGTCCTCGAGGCTCAATGGGATTTACCCGTCTAAATAAAGGTTGAATGAATGAATAAAAAATTGCATTTTTACAGAAAATGCAGTGCGAATGCTTATTGCTGAAGAACTTGTTGAAAAACAGCTGAAATGAGCTAAAAATAAAATGTGCTGAAATGGAAGAACAAGCTAAAGTTAGTAGAAGAAAGCAGAAATAACACATTTGCTGAATTAGGTTTAAATAAGCAGAAATTAGGAAGTTAACTAAAAAAGCTGAAATTAGAAACACTGCTGAAAAGTAGCTGAAAAGACAGAAAGAAGCTTAGTGGAAGGAGCTGAAATGAGCTAAAAAAAAATGTTGAATTAACTGAAATAGCTAAATTTAGCACAAAAACAGCTAAATAGAAGTTGAAATAGCAGAAAAAGCTGAAACTAGAAAAAAAAAATCAGCTGAAACGAGCACAACAAATTGAAATTAGCAGAAAAGTTAATTAGGCGAAAAGTAGCAGAAATCAACATTAAAAACATGATTTGAAAACAGCTGAAATTAGATTTTTTTAAATGCTTTAAAGGTATTTTTTTCAGCCCATTTAGGCTGAAATTAGCAGAAATGAGCACAAAAAGTGGAAATTATCTGAAAAAAGCTGAAATTAGCAAAACAACAGCTGAAAAGTTGAGAGAAAAGCTACAAGAAACCTAAATTACTACAAGAGCAAATGTTTTGCTTAATTGGGCAGAAAAATGTAGAGTGCAAAAGTTTTGGAATTAGCTAAAAAAGCTAAAAATTAGCATAAAAATGGCTAAACAGTAGCTGAAATAGCAGGAAAAAAGCTGATAAGCAAAAAGGGTCATAACAAGCTGAAATTATCAGAAAGTTGGAAGCACAAAAATGTAGTTAGCATAAAGAATGCGATAGGAGCACAAAACAGCCGAAAGTAGCTGAAAAAAGTTTAAATTTGCACAATGAAGCTGAAAGAAGCTGAACCAGAACAAAATGTGAAAGGAGCTGTTAAAGTTTGTAAACAGACAAAGATAAGGATGGAAAATGAGCTCAATTGATTTTCTATGAAAAAAGTGGCAGAAAAGGCTAAATATTTCAAAAAGCTTAAGTTGCACCAATACCAAAAGTCACATCACCCTTCTCCTGAAACAGCTGAACGTTTTGATTTATGATTTGTTGAAAAAGCTGCGGAACGAGAAAGATGCTGAAAAACGTACAGAAGAAAAATGGATCGCCATAGAGTGAGCGCTTCATAAACTCACACAATCAGGGGTTCGTGAGATTTTGCTAACACAGAGAGCACAGAAACAAATGGGCGAAACCATGGTGAAAATATTTGGAACTGAACTCAACGATTCAGGAAGTTTTAACTGAATAAAGGCTGTTACACTCTGCACTGTTGACTCGTTTATAAATGATAAGTGACAGTCTGCAAACTTGACTGGTGCGCTGCTGAACGCGACGTGCAAGAGACGCAACGAACCTCGTTTTTAAATCTTTAGTGCGAAAACAGCCCGAGTCAGCAGCTGGGAGAACTGGCTCAAAGCTAACGGACTGAAAAGTCGTCAAGTCAATCTGCGCACCTGTCGTTCCTTAAACGACTGACGGGTTCCGACAGACTAAAAGTTGGAGAACTCCATTTGTAACCGTCACACGTCAGTTCAACCCGTCTGTCATTTGTTTTGCCACTAGAGCTTTGATGCGTGCCGCTCTTATCGTTTCCAGGAAGCACATCAAAACAAGATCAGGGTCTTCCTGCCTCATATTAGTCGACAACATACACATGTCGTCCTACGATGTGAGAACCGTTGAGCTCGTTCTTATCTCAGTACACAAATGACCTTCAAGCTGGCTTTAATGAGTTCAGAGTGAACCTGCACATTGTTGTTTCGGGTCTCCAAAGGACAAAGAAATCTCTTTACGGTGTCCTCATCGTATCTGCACAAGCTGCAGAGGCCCGCGTGGCTCCAACGAGCAACAAGAAAGGTCAACAGCTTGTTAATTAGACGGTGCTAGGACTCGGAGAAGGTCGTTCTTTGCTCCGGTTCATGACCTGCGAGGCTCGAGAGGCTCCAGAACGACGCGGCGCTGCCAGTTCTTCAATGGATCGGTGAGTAAAGAACTGCACCACCAAGAACCGATGCACGCCTCAGGAGTCGAGGGCGAACTCGACGTTACAGGAAACGGAGGACTCTGACGGGAACGTTGAAAAGAAAAGTCTGCAACAATTAGTCTGTACGTGGAAAGATTCAACAAACCACATCGTGACAAATTGAGCGTTTCCGCGACGTGTTCTGATCCAGTAACTTCTAAAAGAAATGGTTTCAGTTCTAAAGCGAACACTGGACCCTCGCTGAACTTCTCAGGGTCGTGCATTTACTTCACTTTTATTACCCGACACTCCTCAGTGTCGGTAAGGCCAGTCATTAAAGCGATAGTTCAAATCTTTTCAAGCGGCGTTTGGTGGGAGAACCAGTAACACCTTACCAGTTGAGGGATACAGTGAAGCCGCAAGAAGTGAACCGTGATACAGCGAGGGACGACTTTTGAACAGATCACAGGTAAGTGCCGATGGGGGGAAATATTTTCTTTACCCACTTAGATGCATTTGAACTGAAACCATCCTCACTAACCCTTTATTAAACAAGTAATGTAGTCCCTCGCTACTTTGCGTTTGGACTTTCGCGGACTCGCCCTTTTGCGGTTTTTCAAAATAAGGCTGGACATGACACACAATCGGCTGATTGATGGATGAGCCACACGAGCGGCATTGTTTATTTAAAATACATTTTTAACGATTTAGCGCCTGCTGCACCTGTGTGCAGCCCACAGGTGCAGGGAGAAGCTCCCTCCGCTCTCTGCCACCTGCAAGCGCCCTCTGCCACGCCCACATTTATCCTCCGCGCAACTGTTAACCGTTCACAACAATCCAAGCTGTACGGATTGTTTATTTAAAATATTACAGTATTTAAATTGTTTACACAGAACGAGGAGATTGGGAGTGAAACTTGAACTTTGACTATTGTATCTCTATTTTGCGATAATTCTCTTATCGCGGGGGGCGTGGTCCCCTAAACCCCGTGATAAACGAGGGACTACTGCAGTTTGAAAATGTTTATCTTTAGCCGTGTACTGAATATATGACTAACGGTGTAATATTAAATCATTCTGTCACTTGTAGAAGCATGAAACATACGACTGATTCGGAATGGTGATTCGTTTTTTCTTAACCGTTTTTTGCGAGGGCCCACCGAAAATGAACATACAACCCACTTTCGGGTTGTAACCCACCAATTCTACATCACCTTACAACGTAGCCGAGTTGTTTTGGGGTTTTTTTGTTAGATTTTTTTAATACCATTTAATTTTCACTTGTTATTCTCAATTTGTATCCTTTATGATCGCCTATTGTCGTCCACTGTTGACATCATTCTGTTAAAATCAGGTCTCTCTTGTAAACGAGTCTCCGAGGCTCAGTGGGATTAATTTGTCTAAATAAAGGTTGAATGAAAAAAGTTGAGATTAACTGCTTTAGCTCATAGTTAGTTTCACATCAAATGGTTATTACAGCAGAAATATAAAATATCTGTTGTACCTAAACTGCTTCCACTTATAAAATATAAGCTTTCAAATAATTAATTATACAAATTAATGTAAATAACGGTTTAATGTGAAAGTGATGACGATGTAAAGGTTTATAAAGCAACACACACTGTTTTTTAAGACAGTCCACTATGAGATTGGCCTCGTTTGGTCAAGCTGTTGGCTCTTTGAGAAATAGTTCAATTCTGTCCCGACTGGCAAGCCATCTACAACAGGTAACATACTGATGTTTTTCCATAACTTTTGCGTGGAACCCCATTTAAAAAGATCTGAACTTTTGCTTTAAAGTGAGATCAAAGTTCAAATAAAACAAAGTACAGTAGTCCCTCACTACTTAGCGGTTCTACGGACTCGCTCCATCGTGGTTTGTGACGTACAGTCCATAATATTGGACAAAAATAATAATTGTACACGACACGATTGTGGACTGTACAGTAATATTACTGTGCTCACGTGGTTGGGAAAAAGTTGATTACAAAAAATAATTAGGAAAGGCGCTGCCATTTTGTCGTTTTCTTTCAATAATTCTACACTAGCACCAGTCCACAAGAACTACATTACCCACAAGGCAACAGTGCACTTCCCAGAATTCAACAGTACCTCCAGCCTGCTGCTTTCTGCCAAAATGGAAGGAAAGTTTTAATCGTTTGGTCCTTATCCATGTTGACTTCAGCACTTAGTGACAGCAGAGAGCCGATCAGAACCGGACCAGAACCGGACCAAGGCTGGTGAGCCATAACATTTTTCAGTACTGTACAGTACATGTACGCATGTCGTTAAAATGACGTAGGTTTACGAATTTAGAACATTGCAAGAGTGTGGGAAGGGTTTATAAAGCCTTAAAATATGTAAAAATATTAAAATAAAAGTTGTTACTTTGTGAAATTTAATTTACTGCGGGCGGGTTCGGAACAGAACCTCCGCAATAAACGAGGGACTACTGTATGTTGGGGTGGCTCAGTGGGTTACGCTGTGCTCCTCCAGATCTGAGCCGTGGGTTCGAACACAAACGCTGCGCTGAACGCGGATCACTCTAGGGCGGCACGGTGGAGCAGTTGCCAGAGCCGTTGCCTCACAGCAGGAAGGTTGCTGGATCAAATCCCAGTCTGAACCGTCTGCATGTTCTTTGTGCATGTGTGGGTTTCCTCTCCAAAAAAAAAAAAAAAAACACTTTGGCTAATTAGCTGAAACTTGCTGTGCAGCTTTAAGTTGTACATTTCTTTCAAATATAATTTATATAATGTGCCTGACCGTTATCTTGGTGTATCCAAGAACAAAATGTAGTTGTTCTATAAAAGGAGTTTCCAGAGACCCGCTGTGGAAACAACTGTTCAATGCAAGAATAAATGACAAACTGTTGAAGAGGCTTAGATCTGTGCATATAGATTGAACTGTTCTCATGTGATCCTTTAAACTTGGACAGGGTCGGACTTCAGAGACAAATCCAGAGAAGCAGTGTTCGTATCGAACGGCAGCTCCCTCTGAAGGATCGATAACGCTGGTACAGAAAACTAACTCGGCATCAGGTTGACTCTAAAGTAAAGGCCAACTCCGCTGGCCTGAGGGAACTCATTTTCCAACTGAGACGTGTATCCGTGACAGAATCAACCCGTAAAGAATGGCTCGTATGATTTTTATTGGTTTTATTTAGCCATTAGTCTCTTCTAAAGGCCTGCCTTGGTCCGCTTTCAGATATCAATAAGTTGTGGTTCAGACTTTTCTTTCATCCAGTCAGAATTTTTCCACAAGCTTTTCCCAAAGGACCACTTCTACTGAACAAAACTCAGTTTAGTCTGAAGCTTTAGTGCATCTTAACTGTATTAAAATATACTAATCAGTCACGACGTTAAAGCTACAAACGGCTTTAGAACAGTGATCATTTACGTCAATAAATGGGTCTGCTGGGAAACTTGGTGCCTTAAAGACCGAACAGAGGATTCCCCGGCAGCTCAGAAATGACATTAAACACAAAAAGACTACGCCATTTTTTTTATATCTATACAGAACAAATGATCGAGGGGAGAAAGAAAGTAGATGACAAACAACAAACCTCAACAATAGGAATACAGAGCTTCTACAGAATCGAATATTAATAATTACTAATGGAAAATCAGACGCTTCCCCTAAAAGTCAAACTTCTACAAACCATCTCTCTCCTACAAGTCAATCTTCAGGAAATCACACCTTTACTCTTTCCCCGTTCTCAGTTAGTGAGGTTAATGAACTGTTGAAAGGTCTAGACCAGGTGTGTCAAAATCAAGGCCCGGGGGCCAAATGTGGCCCTCGATGACATCTTAGCTGGTCCCCAAGAAGTTATTTTAAAAAGGTAAAATACTTTTATATCACTTTCATTGTTTTCAGTAATCATTGATGATGATGTCAAAAGTGCAACAGAAAACGTCAAATAAGACCAGTCAAAATCTTGAGGAACCTGCAACCAAGAAAAAATTTTGGGCATCTAGTTTGAGTTGATGTAGATTCTGAAACCGGCCCTTAGTTTTAAAAAGGTTTTAATTTTGGCCCCGTTTTGTAAGTGGGTTTGACACCCCTGGTCAAGACTAAAAAAAATCTGCAGGTCCAGATGAACTTCCACCTTATTTCTTAAGGCAGGCTGCTCATATCATCACAGTCCCTGTGACCCACATCTTCAATCTCTCCATAAGTCAAAACTCCATCCCAGACACTTGGAAAACAGCCTTTGTTCTTCCTTTGCTGAAGGGAGGTGACCCCCCCTCACTGAACAACTATCGATCAATCTCTAAACTCTGCATTTTAGCCAAGGTTCTAGAAAAACTGAAACTCTCAAATCAAAAATTACCTGGACTCATTTAACATCTTACCTCCACATCAATCTGGTTTCAGGAAACAACACAACGACCGCGTCACTGAAGGTTCTTAATGACATCGTTGAAGCACTGGATGCTAAGGATTATTGTGCTGCACTTTTCTTAGACCTGTCTAAAGCTTTTGACACTGTGGATCATGACATCTTGTGTCATAAACTCTCAGAAATTGGTTTCTCAGAACACACCATTGGTTGGTTCTCTAACCATCTCTCAGATTGAAGGCAATGTGCTCAACATAATGGTACTTCTTCCAGTTATCTATCAGTCAGTAATGGTGTACCACAAGGCTCAGTCTTAGGATCCACCCTCTTTACAATCTACATAGGTACAGTAGGTTGAAGCATCCCTGATGCATCTTTACATTTCTATGCTGATGACACAGTTGTTTATTGTCGAGCTAAAACAGTTGCTAAGGCTTTCCAGCTTTTGAAATCTGCATTGGACATCATCCAGACTGATTTGTTCCACCTCAAACTTGTCCTAAACACAGACAAAACCAAAGGGATGCTTTTTTCAAACAGGAAGTCGGTCCCAGCAGTTCTTCCTCTGATCTCATCCTCAAATGGTGTCCCCTTCTGAGTTTGTTGATTCCTATAAATATTTGGGTATCTTGGTCGATTCGCATCTCTCTTAAGCTCCATGTGGAAAACTTGGTAAAGAAACTGAAAGTTAAACTGGGTTTCTTTTTTAGAAACAGATCCTGTCTAACCCTGAATGCTAGAAAACGCCTTGTATCTGTGACTTTCCTTCCCTCCATTGATTACGGTGACATTATTTACATGAACGCGCCTACAAGAACCCTGCAGATGTTGGATGCTGTCTATCATGGTGCACTAAGATTCATAACTGGCTGTGATTATCGTACCCACCACTGCACCCAGTATTCACTGGTTAACTGGACATCATTAACTTCACGCAGACTCTCACTGGTAAATTTTCATCTTTAAATCACTTCTTGGTCTGTTGCCTTCATACATCTCCAACATGTCTCTATGTGAGTGCAGCTACAGCGTGCGCTCTCAGGACATTATTACCTGCAGTGTTCCCTCAATGAGGACTGAACAAAAAGATTTGAAGCTCTCGACCTTGACCTCTCTAAGTGACGTAAAACATCTGTTACGTTTCTGGCATAAACCAATGCAGACATGTTCCTGTTTTTAGTTTTCTACATCACCTTATAATCGAGCTGTTTTTCGCTACTATTCCTCTTGATTGGCCTTTTGGTTGCTATTGTGTTTTGATTGTTTTGACTTGTAAAAAAAAAAAAGGCAGAAATTTCCAACAAAAACAGCTGAAAAGTAGCTAAAAATCAGAAAGTTTAAATTACCAAAAGGAAGTGGAGAGATTGCAATATTGCTGAATTGGGCAGAAAAAGTTTAAATGAGTGCAAAACAGCTAAAAAGTAGCTGAAATAGCAGAAAAGGCTGAAACTTGCATAAATAAGCTGAAATTAGAAAGATGCTGAAAAAGGTACAGAAGAAAAAAGGATCACAATAGCGTGAATGCTTCATAAGTGTTCACACAAAGTGAAATTGATCAAAAGGATCGAGACTCGATGATTGTAATCAGTCAGGCTAAGTGACATACTGTAATTTTCAGGACGTGTGGAGTGATTGACAGCTCGGACAGGGTTATTTTCAAGCAATCTGACCCACGTGAAAACAACTTCAATGCTATTTTTTCTCTTTTACAATAGAAGAACGGTGCGACAGCCAGCTGTTCGGTCAAATTTTAAATAAAGTGCTCACCTCGTACTCCCGGACCACTCTCATGCCTCGACCGCCTCCTCCGTAAGCTGCTTTGAAGATGATGGGGAAGCCGTACGTTTGGGCAAACACCTGCGCCTCCTGCAGACTGGCGATGGGAGAATCTGTTCCCGGGACCACTGGCACACCTTTACAGGAGAAAGTGAGAAGTGTAACTAACTTTGCCATGTTTTGCTTTTTTTTTTTTTGTTCGTTTTACCAGAAGATTAGTTTCGTGGCACAAAGTTAAGAGATCTGCGCTTTCATTTCAGCATGAACAGAATTTTCACATTTATGTCCTAAGCAGGTGAAACGGTTACTATATGCTGGAGAAGCAAAAACAGTTTGTACTTTTATACTTGACTAAATTCTTAGAGCTCCCAGAAGAGCAAAGTAGATGGCAAAAGATGGCAGCAGGAATTAGATACGTTGATAAAAATTAACGAGCCTTGCGAGCGTCAGCGTGTCGATCATCGTTGGTCTCATTTGGTTATTTGTGTGAGCATCTTTCGTGTTCCACAAGGTTTTTCTTTGCCATTTCAACAAATCGTAAAATCAAAACGTTCAGCTCTTTCAGAAGGGTGCTATGACTTTTGGTATTGGTGCAACTTTGGCTTTTTGAAATATTTAACCTTTTTAAATTTTCCAAATTGAGCTCATTTTACATCCTTCAAATCCTTATCTCCGTTTACAACTGCTCTTTTCACATTTTGTTCTACTTCAGCTTCTTTCAGCTTCCTTGTGCAATTTTTTTTTAATTCAGCTACTTTCAGCTCATTTCAGCTGTTTTGTGCTCCTTTTAGATTTTTTTCCTGCCAGCTAAATATTTCTGTGCTGCTTTTTTCTTTCTGCTAATTTCAGCTTGTTATGATGCTTTTAGCTCATTTCTGCATAACTGTTTGCCATTTCAGCTACTATTTAGCTGTTTTATGCTAATTTTAGCTTTATCTGCTCATTCCACATTCTTTGCACTCGATTCAAATTTTTTCAGCCTAAATAAGCTCTTTAGCTGTCGTTTTATTTTTTCATCTTTTCTCAGATAATGTCCACTTTGTGCTCATTTCTGCTTCTTTCAGTCCAATTGGTCAAACATGTCCCTTCTGCTAATTTAAGCTTGTTCTACTTTTTCAGCTATCTTTGTAGCATTTTCAAGCTAATTTCAGCTGTTTTCAAATAAATTCAAGTTTTTGTGGTAATTCCTGCTACTTTCAGCCTAATTAACTTATTTCTGATAATTTCAGCTTATGCTCCTTTCAGCTTAATTATACTAGTTTCAGCTTCTATTTAGCCGTTTTATGCAAATTTTAGCTTTTTCAGCCAATTCCATATTTTTGAACTAATTTCAGCTCTTTCCACTTCCTTCTGGTAGTTTAAGTTTCTGCCTTTCGGCTACTTTTCAGCTATTTTTTGCCAGTTTCAGCTGTTTTAACCAATTTCTTAATTTTTGTGCTCATTTCTGCTTATTTAAACCTAATTCAGCAAATATGTGTTCTTTCTGCTTTCTTCTGCTAATTTAGGCTTGTTCTTCCATTTGAGCTACATTTCAGCATGTTTTTAGCTAATTTTAGCTGTTTTTACCAAGTTCTTCTGCAATTAGCATTCACACTGCATTTTCGCAGGAAATGCAATTTCCCTAGTTAATGCTTAAACTACTAATTCAGTGCAATGTCAAAGTTCCACTCGGTGTATTTTGTCTGAGAATATTAGATTAAGCGACTTGGAAAAGAAAGTTAAAGATAAAACTGATATATACATGTATAAGAATAAAGTAATATAATCAAAGCAAGCTGTCACATGATGATTTAATATAATACAACCAACAAGTGCTTGCTCAGCTCATCGTTCTGTGTGACAAACTGAAATGGTTTCATCTTGGGCTCAACAACTGCAGGACATCAGTTCCTCCGAGCGTTAACAAAACGATGCGCCTCACCTGCGCTGATGGCCAGGGAGCGAGCCTCCACCTTGTCGCCCATCTTGCGGACCGTTTCCGGGCTCGGTCCGACAAACCTCACTCCTGCATCCACACAGGCCTGAGCAAAGTCCGACCGCTCCGAGAGGAACCCATAGCCGGGGTGAATGGCGTCCACGTTGTTGTCCTAGGAGGAAAAAGAGTGCATGTGAAGTGTTAAGTTACAAAATTACATGTAGAGATAAAATGAAACTAGAGAAGTTCAGGAAAGAAAAAAAAAAACTCAAACTCAAGGTTTGTGTACTTTTATGTTTTGAGATGGGCACAGAATTACACAGGGTGGAGAGGATTTTAAATGGTTTCTAAAAGAAACTCAAGTTCAAGTTGGTTTCATCCATATAAAGTACTTCGGTCAACCAGAAATCATCCGATTCTTAGATTTTTGGCAAAATACCTCAAGAGCCACAAGGCGGGTTTTGTTGAAACTTTTAGGAAGTTCCCATTTTATGCACAACTTCACAGTCAGCTTGATTGAAGATGGCCGCCACAGCTCATCGATCGTAAACACAGAAGTAGTTAAAACTTGGTGGGCCTGTCACGATAAATTTTGCTGGGCTATTAGTTGTCTCAGAAATTAGTGCGATAAACGATCATTTTGATTGAAATTTGACAATAATTAGGAATTTGTCAAATTTAAGAAGAAATGTTGATTTTTTTTAGTGTAATGCCTATTTTGACCACAGGATGGCAGTATAAGACTGTTTGAACACAAGGATGGATAGTGAGGGAGCGAACAGCACGTCTCTAAGAAAAATGGGAGGGAGGCCCCTTGACGTGACATGGGCTGTCTCTTGTTCATGTTTTTCGGTTCTCAAAATGGCGTTTGCTCGGTGTGGTTTGAGCTCTTTAGCTTAGTATTTTTCACACAAAGCTTTTAATTAAAAAATTAAATAAAATCGGGAAACAAGTTCTCAGCTTCCAATAATTCTCAGTCAGGTCATCTGGACAGTTTCTTTGTTATAGAGATGTTTCACCCTCTGCCCGGAGAGCTTTATCAGTCTGACGAGTTCCAGTAAACCATTTCCCCACCAAGCAGTAAATTTTTAAGTGGACCAACCAGTTTGCTGGAGCTAAGATGGTTCCTGGGGGCCGTCCTTGACTCCTCCCAGTCAGGCAGCCACAGCCAAAGTGGTTCAAGGCAACAAAGTTCACGCTCAATCATCCAGGTATCAAATCCAATAATTCTCAGCCAGGTCATCTGGACAGCTTCTTTCTTCAGGGAAAAATAAACCTTATACACGAAGGCACGGGTTTCGACCGTGAATTTTGGAGCTTAGACAAGACGGAGGTTTTATCCCGAGGTCGGCCTGTTAGCTTAGCTTGTAGCTTAGCTTCTCAGCTAATCTGCTTTTAACGATCCAAAAATGTGATTTTGGGCAGTTAAAATGGATTTTAAAGAGATATGAGAAAGGGAGGGGTCAGTGAAGAGAACTGGAGTTGAGCCTTTTGTCATCCAGTGTCTTCAGTAGAAAGAGAGACACGAATTAATGAAATTAATGAAAATTAGCTTGATAATTTTCATTTATCATGCGATTAATTGATTTGTTTATCGCAACAGGCCTATAACCGTCAGCTTTTCAGATGAGCTACAGTTCAGGGTGTTATTGGCCAAGAATCATCCCTAATGAGCCAATAGATAGAACAGGATCTACAATTAAAACTTGAACCAGCGGACAATAAAAACTCAAGGGATGCCAGTTTTTGTCTTTATTGTCCATTTTATTAGGGCAGCACGATGGCTCAGTTGGTAGTGATGCCGCTTCTCTGCGAGAAAGTCACCGCATCGAATCCCAGCCAGGGAACCTTTTTGGGTGGAGTTTGCATGTTCTCTCCATGCGTGGGTTTTCTCCGGGTACTCCAGTTTCCTCCCACAGACCAAAAACATTCACGTTAGCCTGAGTGGTAACTAAATTGTCCCTAGGTGTGAGTGAGAGAGTGAAAGGTTTGTCTCGTTTGTCTCTATGTGTCTCTGTGATGGAGACACCTGGACCCTGCCTCCATCGAGAGGCAGGGTCCAGGTGTTCCCCCGCCTCTCGCACAGTGACTGCTGGATATGGGTGCCAGTGACCCCCAAAATCCCAAAAATGAAGAAGAGGGTAAAACATTAATAATGGACAATGGATGGAGGGATAAATATTTATTAATGTTGAATTACACTAAAACCTCATTCTGAATGCTGTCAATGGATAAAATTTCAGATTTGGTACGCAGTGGAGCCGAATCCTGATCCTCGTGGGCCGCTGCACGTTTTACTCGCTTCCTTAATCTTCAGCAGGTCCTCGAGTCCTGCAGAAGCCTGTTAATCACTCCGTTTATTTAAATCAGGTGTCTCAAAGCAGACAAACCTCTAAAAGAACAACAAGACATGGGCCCTCGAGGACCAGAACTGGACCATCTCTAAGGCAAGGAGGGAATGACATTTAAACACAGTGTTAGTTACAATCACTTATTTAAATATCTGCTCAGTGGACACCAGTACGACACAGAGAGAGCAAAACAAGCATAATTTAAAGGTCCAGGGGAGGCCAAACACACACACACACACACACACGGAGGCTGGTACAGTAGTTGCTGAGGGTGAAAGATAGAGCCATCTCTGGATGGTTGTGTGCCATCTGCTCAAGGCGTCCAGTAATTATGGGCTGTCCTGTTGTTCAGGGAGCGATTACTGCCAGGCCAAAGGAGCCATGCTACCCCCCCCCCCCCCACCACCACACACACACACACACACACACACACACACAAACACACACAATGGAGGCTGTACGCATACAAGCAGGTTCAAGCGTCTAAAACGCAGACCTGAATAGTGAAAAAGGATTCAGACAGCACACACCGGGGTGCACAGAGAACAGTCTCTTTTCCACATTCATCAACCTACAAAACACAGAAGGTACAAAAATAAAAGATTTGTGTTCAACACTGAGCGACAAGAGTAAACAGCAGGTAAAACGTCGATTCTCGCAGCGCAGGGAAAGAACACACACATTTGGCTGGCGTGGAGTGGCTGGGCTCCCTGACAGACTGATTCACAGAAACGAGTTGGACGGAAAAGCCTCCAAACAACCTCGACTTGGCTGCTGGACCGCACGCCCACGTAGAAAATTATAACGCATGAGAGACGGATCAGAGAAATGACAAAAAGCAACTGTCGGCTGGCTGATCCTGGGACGACGGGAGGAAGACGGAGCGGCGAGGAGTAAAAGAGCGGCGAGATGAGGATCAGCAGGAAATGAAGGTGAGGAACGAAGATGGACACGATATTCACCCGGAAGGACACGGTTGGAGAACACAAACACACCGTGTAGAAAGGAAACTGGGGACAAAAGAGGCGCAGGTGTGCAAAAACTATTCTCTCTCTAAAAACAATGTTCCCTTTATTCAAATTATTTCATTAAAACTTGGAATTGAGATAAATATGATGAAACTTTTTGTTAAGCGTTAGCAGAGACATATGAAAAATAAAAAGTGCCACTCCTTTTTCTCTACAGATTAAATGTAGAATTAAATGTAAACAGAATTCACGACAGAGATGTCGGATGTATTGCGACTAGAGCACAACCAATATTTCGGTACGGCCGATACTTTAGGCCAACATAGATGCTTGGGGACATACCAGTATCGGTGACAATTGGGCCATCGTGCGCAAATATAAAACTTCTAATTTTCACCCCTAAAATGCTGGGAACCAGCTGTAAGTGTGCAATGTGTCCAGCAGAGGGAGCATGAAGACTACTTTCAAGTCATGGCCTCTCACTTAAGTTTCACTTTCAGCACAGCCAAAGCAGCGAGCAATACTGTGTTGAGTATTTTGCTGAAAAGAGCATGGTAAGTTTATTTTAACTGATCTGTAAAAAGACAACTTAGTTTGTTTTCCATATATATTTGTGTGTGAATGACAGGGATCAACTTAAAACACTTTGGAGAACGGTTCTTTGTGAAGTTCCGCCACGTTTAAAATGGCGTCAACTTCAACAAACTATTCAGTGCTCGATGGAGTGTCTACGTATACGTGTCTGCTTAATTGCTGGTTTTAGCCTTTGGCTCATGTTGCTAGTTTTAGCAATGATTTAGGTAATTTTAGCATTTATACACAGTTTCGGTAATTTTACGTTTGTGGTGTAGTTTTGCTAGTTTTAGCTCTTGGGTACAGTTGTGCTAGTTTTTGATTTTTGCAACTATTTAGCAAATTTTACCTTTTGATTATATTATTTGATATTCACAGTTGTAGTGGGCTGTGGGGCTCCTGACACATTTTATTCAGTGAGCGAAGGGGTAGAAATGGCTTTCAATGAAAAAGGTTGCAAACCTTTGCTTTAGATCAATAAAAATCAAGTTTTCAGTTGAGACACACCGATCCAATATTAGTATCAGTATCGGTGCCAATATCGGGGGGGGGGGGGGGGGGG